TCAAGGATGCTGAAGGAAACAAAGCCCTATCTTGGCTCTGGAGACACTGAAAAAGAGACTGATGGCTCACTCAAGACATTTGTGCATCTTTGAAGAACTAGCTGCCTTAGGAACTACTGTGTGTTTTATTTTCATCTCTTCTTAGGCTCATCTTTAGTGACTCCCTCTTTTTATAAGAAATCCCCAGGCCTGATGGACCCAGGTAACCTTCAGCAGGAGCAATGACTATCTGTACTTGAGGACTCAGGTGTATCTGAAGAAAGGCTTTGAGGTGAGAAAGGATGGGTAAGGAAATATATTTGAGTAGAACATTTCTGAAGATTTCAGGGAGTGAGGATGAAAATCAAGAAGGAGAACTGACAGCAGTTCCTGTGAAATTACTGCTCTGGGACAGGTTAGAGGTACAGAATGCTATTCCTCCAAATGAAGGACAGCTATATCCAAAAAGGCTGCTCAGAATATCTGTGGGATACCATTGTTAACTCACCTCCAGGTACAGATAGTACCTACGATGATGAGAATCCATGTACAAAAATATCTGGTCTCCCAAAACATTGCTCTCTTGGTTGAGCAATCTACTTCCGTAGTGATACTGCCTCAGAAACCCAAGGAGGGTTGCTATGAGGCGGGGCCGACTCAATGGCACATCATAACAGCAACAGTAATTAAAACCTATAATGTTTAAAATAATGAAGAAGATGATGATAATGTTGATGTTGGTTTGAGTGCCTCCTCAATCTCACTCTCGCACGTATCATACACATTTAGCAGTATTATGATCCAAAAAAGGAAATCAGGCAAGATGATTCTCAAGTGGAGCCCCTTGAGGTGACATCTTTCTAAGTGATAACTTGAGCAGGCCAGATTATACAAGCTTTTCCAGCATGGTGGCTGATGTAATTAAGATCATGGTTGTTTCATTGTTTGATATTGCTTCACTTAAGTCCAGTGTATCTTCTGTATCTCAGATGCTGTGCTAAATCACTTTAGATACATTTTCTTGAATTTCTTGACATCTTGTATATCAAAAACCAAATCAAAGTCATCACCGTTAAATTGAGTCCAACTCATAACAATCCTATAGGACAGAATAGAACTGCCCCTATAGGATATTCAAGGCTGTAATCTTTACAAAAGCAGATTGCCACATCTTTTTCCCACAGAGCACCTGGTAGGTTTGAACCAATGACCATTCAGTTAGCAGCTGATCCCTTAACAACTGTGACATTAGGACTCTTTGAAGTATTATATAACAGAATAATTCTGAGTTTTTTATGCTTAAAAAGTTGTCTCCTCAGAATGAATGACAGTCATTACCACACTCCTTCTGGCTCCTGAGTAGTTACTGAGAGCAGGATTCTTGTGAATAGATCATTGTTTCAAGATAGAATATGAGGGTAACATAGTGCCTAAGGCACTTGACTAGTAACCAGAAGGCTGGCGGTTCAAACCCACCAGGCACTTCTTGGAAGGAAGGTTGGGCAATCCTACTTCCGTAGTGATACTGCCTCGGAAACCCAAGGAGGGGTCGCTATGAGTCGGGGCTGACTCGACAAC